AAAAAAAATTACATTGGCTAATTAGATTAATAAAAGGCTATTTGCCCTTAAACGCTATTAAACACAATAATAAGCCAGACAGAATTTGTAAACAATGAACTTAACAAAATATTCGGAATCTTTTCTTCCAAAAAAATTAATAATTAAATATAAATAGAAATTTTAAATATTGTAAAATTCAGAAAAGAATTATTTTTTTAAATTTTAAATATTTTCAATTGAAATTTTCTAATAATAATAATAATAATAGTACCAATAAACCTTCAATCCAAAACTTATTATAAAATATCCTTTTTTTTTGTTGTTGCTTCTAATATTCCTTTGTAATTTTTGTTACCACCTGTTATTTAAAAATTATTTTCCATTCATTAATAAATTCATTTCATAAAATAGATTTTTTTATATACGATTTATATAACTATTTAGTTACTTATATAGTTGCATTGTACACACACATTACACATAAATAATAAAATAAGGATAACCGTACACATACATATATGTATACATATATGAATTGTTATAATATTGTAAATTTTCTATTGAGAAAGAAAATTTTTGTCTTCTTTTGTATAGAAAACAATACCAAATCGTTAATCCTTTCACTTGACTGCATCATAATACAATATTAAAATGCATTACAAATACTCGTAATATAAAAAAAATATATAAATATAGTTATATATATATGTATATACAAACATTTATATTCTAAATTCATACATATTTACATACATACATACATACTTATTTTATCATATATTACAAAAGTTCCCATTTCCTTCAAATATTCTTTATAGACATTTTCAAAAAAAAAAAAAATGCATTTACTTTACTTATATTTTATGTATGAATGTATGAACGTTTGTGTACATGTAGAATAAAAGTAATGTAAAATTTATGTATTCTTTAAAAATTTAACCTAATCAACATGTAAACATGAATGATGTATGTAAGAAAGAATATGTGTAAGTACAGGGTTTTTAATTGAAAAAAGTAGGAAATAATAATAATGAAAATTTCTTAATACAATTGTAGAACGAATGGATGACATAGCCAAAGGAACGAGTCAAGGCAAAAATATTAAGAGACAAAACAAATTCCTGCTCGTAAACGACTTGAACACCAGTGGGCTATTGTTTTCTAGGCGGACGCTTTTCGAATTGCGCTACAGAGGTGTGAATGAATTATCGACATATTGTTCTCCACATTGCTTTTTACAGTAATCTTAATGAAAAATATAAAAATAATATAAAAATAAATATAATTTTTAATTTCTTAAAAAATTATTTAAAAATTCTGTGCTATTGTATGAAAATTACTTGGAATGAACTGAAAATTGTGAATTCCAGTATATAATCAAAAATTAAATGAATTTTCTGTTATTTCTGGAAGTTTCTTCCATTCTAATTTCATATTTTGAATTGAGCTAATTATGTACATTAACTCTTCATAACTGGCTGTAATTTAATTAAATTATTGATAATTTTTAAAAACAAATTAGAGCTTTATTATAATAATTTCCCTTAATTTGTTAACACTAACATTATAATGAAAGTTCGAAATATTTTTCAACCTTCATAACTTTTTCCATTTTGCTAATATTGTTTTAAATAAATATGGAAGAACCCTGTTGTAATACAGCATCTTATATGCTTATACTAACATACATTAAACATTTTTTACATATTAAATTGTTAAAAAATTTTATATTGAATTGAATTATAAAAAAAAAACGAATAATAATAATAAAAAAAGAGAAAAATTCCTAATTGAATAATTTTTCTGCTCACTTGATTTTTGAAACTGAATGATTTTAAATAGAATTTTTCCTATTTTTTCTTTTTTATTATTTTTATTATTCTATTTCTTTAAATTCAAATTCATATACACATACACAAAAAATTTACAACAAATTTAAAATCTAAATCTACTAAAATATCCTTGATTTCTTCCTTTTTCTTTTTTTTTGTTAAAATTATATAATCCGTAAAAACTCATATATTACAATTCACAAATATTAGAGATGTAACATTTTCAATTTAAATAAATACAAAAGTATAGATATGTAGAGATTATGATATTAAGAAAAAAAAAATTTAAAATTAAAATTACAAGAAAAAATTTCATTCTATTTAGGAAGAAATTCGATTTTTGTTTTTGCTCTTTTTGTCTATTTATTAAAAAAAATAATCTGGCATTATAAAAATAATAATCAGCATATTTTGTATTAAGGTAGGAATTTTTAAAATTTTTTATAATATTCTTAGTTAAAGTAATCATTATTATGCCTACCGTTTATTAAAATATTGGAATAAAATTGAAAGAATGAGTGCCGGAATTTTCAATAATTCAAATATGCGTTCTAACTTAAATATTAAATAAAATATTTTTGCTGTATTTCAAAAAAAAAAAAAATATTTAAAAATGCTTCTTAGAACTTTAAATATGCTTCTGATTTTCAAACCTACTTCATTTGTAATAATGATTTAGGGAACATGTTTTACATTAAGATCTTTAAATTAGAACTAAAATTTCGAAATTATTCTACTGTAGTTACATAATTCATTGATTAAAATTACAATATTATACAATGTTATATAAAAAGCCAAATATTTTAAATATATTTAAAAGATTAACAATTAAGAATTTTCAGAGTCAAGCAAATTTTCGGAATAACTTAAAATATAAACAAGATAAATTGTTATGTATACTAGTACCAACAAAAATTTAAGTCAACTATTCCAAGTAATACTAAAAATACAATTACAATATTTCTATAAACAATATTTTTTTAAATATAAAATAGTTAATATAGCCCATAAAGTTGTTCTGTTTTTAAATTAAAAATTGTGGCTAATAAGCAATAATATCTAAAAAGAAAGAGTAACATTCTGATATTTTTGATTGGTTGGTTGACATAACTGGTACAGCAGGTTCATGTACACCTATTAGCACAAATGTTCCGTTTTGTTACAATTATCCTGTGATCACCAGGTTGTCATTGAACGTACGATTAGAGTGCGCTTATTTAAGCTAAACCAATTCTCTTGAAAAATTTCAGCTCCCAGTTCTCTTGAGCGAAAAATAATCTCCTTCTTGTTCTCCTATCCCGACATCTGCTACACACCATATTGAAAAGGTTCCGATATTCAATATAACACAGTAAATATTTGTGAACCTACTTATATTTATAATTACAAATATTTTCTATTAAATTAACCTACATCATAAATCTACCTAGTATAAATAGTTGAATATCTTTTAATATATTTTATTTATAAAATAAAACACGTGAATCAAAAAATCAATGTAATTTTCCATTTTATCCTCCTTTATAAGCAATAATAAAACAACAACAAAAAAATATCTTGACTGAAAAATCTCATTTATCTTCAATACCAGAAAATAAAACATTTTTCTTTTTAAAAATATTACATAAAAATTTTATCAATAGTTACTCGTTTTAACTTTATTTTTTTTTTTTAAAGTACTCTAACTTTGACTTTATATTTTTATCCAATAGAATACACCAACAACCAAAAAAAGGAATCAAATATAGAATGGTAAAATTCCATTTCCTTGAATTGAATACAAATGTGTGTGTATATAGTGTACACACATATATTATATATTATTTAATTATACATAGTATGTTTATCTATAAATTTTATAATATGCACCACATTACTCGCACATACCAACATATTTATGAACTAATGCAATTTTCCAATTTTTATCTATTTTCGTATTCTTGATGCAATTTTCATTTTACCAGCATTAAATCCTGCCAGTTTTTATTCATGTTTTATATTTTAACTATACTATTCATTATATAATATATGTATATATATATATAAACATATTATATTCAACTAAAAATGAATGTAGTTACAATACATAAGAAAAATGTTGTACGAATAAATAAAAAAAAAATATGCGGGATAAGTGCATATTGTAATATATAAATTATATTATGTACATACACACATACATGCGTATAAAATGTGCAAGGAAAAAAAAATTTTTCCCGTTCTCATATTATATACAATATTAATATTTAGGTACATATAAATTCAACTAAAACTACACATTGTACTTATATCTAGTATGTATATCTACCCATATTATGTAGAGATATATTTGATATATACAATAGATGATGCATTATATAGGAGAAAGAAAGTAGAGAAAACCCTGACCTAGTTTTAATAAAATATCATTTTCATGGACATCATCCATACATACATACATGAATATATATATATACATACGTGTACATACAGCAATATTTATTATCATAAGACAACCTTGAAAAATGCCAGGGATAAATTTTCAATTTATATTTTAACATTAAATTACATTCTATTTTAGAATAAAATGGAGAACAAAAAAAAAAAAAAAAAGGATACCATTTTTAGTTAGTTGGTTGTATATCTTATTAGTTATTGTTATATAATACATAATGTACCTTTATCTTATACATATAATTATATAATAATATGTAGATGAGAGATCAGTAATAAAAACTGCACGTGGAAAAATTGTTTCATTTGTGTTCATCTTAATGCTTTAGAAAGTTTTTGAAAAATTCATTTGAGAATAATTGAAGAATATTAATGTATATATATAAAAGAATTTACAAGTTAATTTTAAATTTCAATTGAAATATTTTTAAGTTAAAATTTAATATTTAAATGTACATACTGAAAATATTTAGAAATAAGAAAAATATTGTATTGAAGTTATTCTTTAGAACAATAATTTTAAAATTGAATTTTTATTTAAACGTAAACTGGACATCTCTTATTGGAATAAAATCTATAATTCTATAATAATCCAGTTCCTATTCTTGGAGTCCCTTACAATATTTTCAATATTATTTTATATTAGATTTAAAATTGAATTCTAAGATGCACTTGTCCATAACTAAAACTCTTACAACAAAAAAAAAAAACAGAAATTGAAAAATTAAATACAAAATTATTTTTTTTTTTTTATATTATATTTGCATCAGAGCTTTTTAAAAAATACTGAAAATCAGTTCACAAATTATTATTTAAACGAATTTAGAAATAGTTTTAGAATTTAGAAATAGTCTTGCGTTCTATTTGGAAAATAATGTTAAGAAAAGACTAAAATAAAAATAAAAATATAACAATAATATAATTTTGTTTTGCAAAAAATATATATATGTATAATTAAATCTGTATTTTAGTCTGTAGCATTGATTGTTATAGTTTTTCCTTTTGGATCATCAAAACGATCCATTGTACGAATATCCATTAACCATGTTATACCAATACTAAGTATAATTATAAACATTAAAGCAACAAATAATCCACTAATAATACCACCAGATATAAAACCAACACAATGCCATGGATCACCGAATTTTGTTGGTTCTTCTTTATAAAATGCTTGTAATTGTAAATTTGAAAAAATAATTGCTTTATCACCACTATATAAAGTTAAATTTCCGCAAAAATATGAAAAATTTATTTGTGATTCAACATCAGCTAAAAAGTTATCTGTTCCTAAACTGATTTCATTAACATTCCAATATCCACCGGATTCTGTTACAACAAATTTAATATCACCTTTATTTGATTTTAATGTAACATCAATATCACTTTTTGATGAACTCTCTTTATTCAATGTCATTTCAGTTATATCAAGTGTTTCTTTATTGAAAATTATTTCTCCAAAATATAATAAAATACCAACATCATCAGCTTTTCCACTGAATTTTTTACTAGCTTCAGCTTTTGCTTGTCTTTTTATACGATTCTTTAATAATGGTTCATTGGTTTCCATACTTGTGTATATAGCAATAACTTTTCCTTGCTCTGATAATAAATTATAGATTTCAGCCATAATTGAATCTGAAAAATTTAAAATATTAAAGAATTTTGTGATTCAATTACAAGTTAATTTAGAAGCAAATATTTTACCATGTTTAATAAGATCTTGGAAACGATCTTCATTGTTCTCATTCAACTGAATAATCAATATTTTACCAGGTTCATATTTAATATTAGAAAATTTATTATCTTCCGAAATATCTAAATTTTCAATTTTATCATCAGTTGTAAGAGATTTAATAGTTTCAATTGGTTTTACAACATCAGCATAAAATGTTTTAGTTCGGAATGTTTTTAAATTAGAAAAACATGTGTCACCTGATTCTAATTTACATTGTGAGAAATCTGCAGTTTGTAACTAAAATTATATAAGAGCCTAATTAACAAATTATTTCAAAGAATGTATAAAAAATTCAAATATTAGGAGGTAGCATTTACATTATTCTCTAAGAATAACACCACCATTGAATCATCCAATTTTTCTGAAATTATGTCACCAAAATCATTGGAACTTAAAGTTTTTAAAGCAGGTTTAAATGGGACACTAAAAAAAATTCAAATTATTAGAGTGTCTCCTGAGACCTAATGAATTATCATGTAAAACTTACCTTGAAGAGCCCCATATAAAAACTGGAGTATTTTGGCTACAAACGAAGCCACAAACGCACATTAATAAAAATAATTTATTTAACATGATGTTAAAATTTACGTTCGTATGGTTCTTTAACTATTTTTATATTAAATTTTAAATAAAATTAAATGTGCTTCAAATTAAAAACTAATTTGAGGATCACTTTCTTGGATCATATGATAAGAAATTATTCAATTTTACAATATGACATTTTAGTTCACGAGATCATCAAATGTCAAAAACTTCGATAAACAGCACTGCCATATTTTTGGTTTTGTTTTTTTTTAATTTTTTTTTTAAGTCAAAATTTTTATTTCAACTTCATCCGTTTTTAAAGATTTTAAACTATAAAATAGTTAATTACAAATCTTGCAGCAAGCTATACTTTCGTATTTAGTTAAGCTGATTGTCCTGCAACATTCATGTGAAAAATCGTTTTAATATTCAAAAATCTTATACAAAAGAACAGAGCCATCTATCGGGAAATAAAAACTTGTTAAGAAAAACTTCTATAGATGGCTTTCGAGAATCGAAAACTATTCATTCTTGACATTGACAATTAAAGTTTTGTCAAAATAAAATCAAAGAGAATTTTGCTTTGTTGCTGCTTACATTGCTACTATTAATTTTTAATTTATTATTAAGAAAAATTTCTTCAAAAAAAAAAATTTTTGTATTTTATTGTATTCTGAAATCCTGAAATAAAATTAAAAATGTCATTTGATACAATTCCAAAAGACTTAAGAGGTTTAAGAGCATGCCTTGTGTGTTCTTTAGTTAAGGTAAGCATATGATTTCACTTAGTAATTAAAGAATGGAATTTTATTCAAGAAAAATTCATTGTACTTCATTTAATATTGAAATTTCAGACATTTGATCAATTTGAATATGATGGATGTGAAAATTGTGAAGAATTTTTACGAATGAAAAATAATAAGGACAACGTTTATGATCATACAAGTAATAATTTTGATGGATTAATAGCATTGATGACACCTGATGATAGTTGGGTAGCCAAATGGCAAAGAATAAGTTAGTAAACTTAAAAATATATGAATGATTTTATAAAATAAATATTGATTCACTATTACAAATAAAAATTAAATAATTTTTTTTAGCACGATTTACAAGAGGTATGTATGCAATATCGGTGTCAGGCCGATTACCTCCAGCTACAATTAGAGAAATGAAGAATAGAGGAATATCATATAAATCAAGAGATATGAGTCAAAGATAAATTAGAATTTCAATTTTCATAAAATATAAACTGATTTTACATTTAAGAATAAAACCAAATTTAAGTCATTAAAATTTTTAAAAGCCGAAATACAAAGAAGTGTTTATATTTTACTTTAATTAAATACAACTACATAATGGCAGTACTGTTTCATGTGGTGAATTTTAGAAGTCGCTGGCAAATGAAAGGTTTTTTGTCTTGGATATAACTAAAAAACGAAATATCCCAACGATTACAATTTAAAAAATCCCAAAATAAATTATAGCCAGTGGTGTGAAAACTTGCTAATCCACAAAGCGGATTGGGAAATTGCTAAGGATACTTTTTTTTTAAATATTTGAAGTAAAGGTAAATATTGTAGATGTCGCTACATTCAGTAAAAGTTAAAATTTTTTAAGAATCACATTATTATTTAAAATTATTTGGTAATTTTTTTTGAATTTAAAATTTTTAAAAATTTCAATTTTAAATAGGAAGTTTTCTTCTTTATAGTCTCAATTAAAAAAAAAATAAAATTTAGAAAATATAAATTAATAAATAAATTGTATTATTATATAATTTTAGTAAATATAAATTTGGGATGTGCGATAATGGATTAAGCTTCTGATCATCGAAGTTATATCCAGCTGGTATATAAAAATAGTCTGAACTTTTATCTCCATAAAAAGTAAGAGATGAAAAATTATACATCGCATATAATTGTCAGCGTTATCAGGTTCTCATTTAATTTAGTGAAAAGTTTTACTGCAATGTAACTCCGGCATTAATACCGAAGTAAAACCAGGGAAAACTTTAAAAAACGACTGCATTGTAGTATCGATCTTTGCACTACTCTGTTTGTTTAACTACTCCGTCGTTAAAACGCATTTTTATCAATTTGGATCTTGCTACATTGTATTCATTTTTTATTCTGCAATATGGATCAGAGATGCCATGTGATACAACCAGATACAACTTAATTATTTTTGGATGCCATGGTATACTGCAATTGGAATAACAATTAGCAATCTTAATTCAATAAGATTTTTAATTTCTCATAACTTACGTACGCAAATTTGCATAAGTTTTGGTTAAATTTATTTAGAATTTTTGTAAATTTAAATTGTCATAATCTGCCTATCTTCCACACAATATTACATTAATAATTATTGTTAATATTTGCATAACAAATTTTAAATTTATTCCATTCCCTAAAAATTATAAATTCATTCCGTCTTTTAATTTAATAAAAAAAACCAATAATATACTCCTACATATTTATGTACATATGCGCATGTGTATGTAAAAGATAACACAATAGAATAAATGACACCACCAGAGACATGCTGGCTACAAATAATTTGAATGAATAGATTGATTTTCATCATTCAAATTTAAGATTTAAATAAAAAATTTAATATTAATAAATTAATAAAAAAAAAATTTAACAAGTTTTATAACAAAAAAAGCACTAAATTTTTAGATTTTACAGCGAAAATAATATTAATTAAAAATTTTTACAGTTTGAATGAATAATCGAAAATTTTAAACTTGAAAATTTAAAAATTAAAATAAGAAAAGAAAAAGTTTTTGAATAAGAAATTTAAAACTGTAGCGACTCTACAACTTTTAAAAAAAATATATGCTAATTTTCTACTGTTAAAGAATATATGTATGTATGTACATAACAATTGTTTGTTGCAACACTCACGCAACTCAAAATTTGCACATTTGAGAGCGGGTTTGGAAGTCAATGTAATATTTTTCTCGTTGTAACCAGGACTATTGTTTTACAATTTCACAGACCTGTCGATTTTACAAAAAAAAAAAAAATTGGAGCTTTCAAGTTTGAATACCGGAGCACAAATGAATAAGAGGAAACAAAAAGATACGTTCGGAACCCAAACGCTAGTCCTGACTGTAGCATTATTTTATAATGTATTATAAGAGACAATTTTCAAGCTAGAGAAATGGTGTTTTTACACGAACACAGAAATGTTTTAAGAGCTTATTTCTGTATAAATAACTCAGAAATTGTATTTTTTTCAGTTATGTCACTTTACCGTAAACAAGCAACATATATGGACTCAATTGGTTTCAAAAGCCGGATACTTTCTTTTTATTTGTATTTGTTTAATATTATTCTTCATGTATGTATATATATATATATATATATAAATGACTACACTTGTTATGCATATTTAATTCCCAGACTGAATATTAAAATATTTAAAATATTCTTTAAAATAATAATAAGAAAAAATAAGAACAAATCTTTTATTCTTTTACTAATATTATTTTAAACTCGTATACGAAAAATAATTATGTTTAAGCAAAAAAAAAAAAAAAAAAAAATTGCCATATTACGCAATATTATAAATGGGTATTGGTTCCTATTTAAATTATGAATTTATTATTAAAATTTTATTAACCATTCGAAATTCAATGATTTTTATTTATAAAAAATAATTGATGATCATTAAGATTACCAATTAATAACAAAAAAAAAAAAAACAAAACAATATCCAAATTATTAGAATTTTCTAGTGGCGACATCTATCTATTATTTTTACTACATAAGTACGTGCAAGAATATTTTTTATAATTTTTATTCACATTGAAATTGAATTTGTCAATTGATTATAAAGTAAGAAATATTGCAATTTATAAATTCACCACTTCACTTCTCAATTCATCATTTCTCATCTCTCTACTTTCATACAATACAAGTACCTTTTTTTTATATCCATGATCTGCATATAATATAAAGCGTCTAACCTGTATGCAAGAATATGAAATCAATTCCAACATCATGTTTTCACAATAACCGTTTCCTTATAAAATAACGGTAGTGTGATCTTCTGTTACGAGTTTAAGAAATAAATTTTACATATAAACTGCAGTCTTCAATTAAAGATTTACAAATGGAGAACCATATTGATTTATTAATACATAGTTAAATTTTGTGTTAATGATGAACGTTCTGCATATTGAAATTAAAAACATTTTCCACCAAAAATTTTCCATTTCTTATCTCTTATGTTATGTCATATATTTGCTCTAAATTTAATCCGAATCCATGTGATAAGTTGGTAATCTTAAAATTTATAAAATTCATAATTTAGTATTCTAATTATTAATGATTCTATATTGAATTTATTTTCAAATTTTTATTATGTCATCGCACATTAATATTTCAAAAAAAAAAATTAAAATTATCATCTACATATATATAATATTCACCGTTATTATGTAAAGAAATTATGATGAGAATAACAGGTTCTTTTCAAAATTAAAAAAAAAAAAACAAAACTGGAATAAAATAAAGGTGTAAATTATTTAATAGCCTAATGAAAGTAGATTTAAAATTTCAGTTTCACTTATATACTTATCTACCCATAATACATAATTTTTGTACATGTGCAAATATATGTATATACATATATAACATTCACAGTACTTGTAATATGACTTAAGAGAATGTTTGAAATCACCTCTAGTGTGGTAATTTATCAGTTACTTAAGTTGAATAATACGTACACAATATGTAAAACGCGTGCATGCATCAGCGTTGCAAATTATTTACCTTCAGTCTATATTAAAATTTCTAATTTCTAAAATATTTTAAAATTATTTTATATATGTACGTGTATACCAATGTTAAGTGCATGTGTATTAGATAATATAGTTATTATATGGCAGTTTTTAAATTAATTTATTTAAACATTAAATTTTAAGTAAATATATAAAACTTAAAATATCTTTTATTAAATAGGTACTTTTTATTTATTTAATAAAAAAATATAATTGTAATTTTTTATTAATAAAAAATGTAATATTACACCCCAATAATAAGATTATTCAATAATGGTCTCATAAGTGGAAGAATTAAAATTATTAAAAAATTTTTAACCATGTAGATCATGTAGCGACTAGTTGTAATAATCGGAATTAACCGGATTATACGAAAGTGCGAGATAGTTCATGGGAAGACGGCCAAGCTATACTTAAAAATGCCCTGATATGGTAAATTAAATTTAAGAAATACGAATAAATTGCTTTTAACTATATTCGAAAAAAGTACTATTGTACTATAGCATCGTGGCATGAAAATGGAGGAGCGACATATATCAAAGATTGTCAAAAAAGCAGGGATGCTCTTTGACAAGCTTGAAGAATATTCAATGTCTAAGTACAATCGGTACTAATGTAAGGCTGGGAAACAAGATGACCGGACAAACAGATGCCAGGCAACATTCGACTCCAGAACAATAACGCGATTCAATGGATTTCTTGAAGCCCTATGTACCTACTGGGAATGGATAAAAAAGAAAACAAAATGTAGCAAATTATTCTTTTTAGGTTGCAAGTACTTACATAAATAATTAAAAAGCTTTCCTTTACATAAAATACCTATGTATGTACACAACTCGAAAAAAAAATTTATAAAATGCGCATAATTAAAATTTCAAAAGTGAGTGTCCATACATTACTGTCTGAACCCCCTATAACCTCTCAAATCAATTTATCGAAATCTAAATATTTATTTTCCAAGTAAAAAAAGAAATTAATAAAGAAAAAAAAATAATAATATAAAAATGTAAATATTTGCAATTTAATAATAAATTCTTACATCAATTCCAATATTTTAATATTACAGCGTCTATCTGGCATTTTGTTCAAATAAAATATTCGTATAGGTTAAAAGGTTTGAAAGTATATGAAAACTTTTTAGTAAAAATCAAATCACATGCACAATTAAAAAAACTTATAAATCAAAAATTTATTTAGAGAAAAAAAAAATATTAATATTATATTCTAGAGTTATCGATTGTTATACAGTAGTGTCAGAGGTGAACAGAGTTTTGGAATATGGGGCAACTCTTTTTTTATGAAATTTTCACCTTTTTTTTGTTTTTTTTTTTTTTTGTTCATAATAAATATAATAAAATGTATTTATTTCAAGGGCAAAATATCGAAATTAATTTTAAAATTTGTTCCTAGACCCAAGTTATCAATTCTATTTTTTTGAGAGCATGTATACAGTTTTTATTGCTATATAACTGAACTGTATATTACAGAAGGTCAGTATAATAAAAGTAAGTTTCACT